CTGGACCGAACGTCGTCTCACGTGAGCGGCATCAAAGAGCTGGCCCGCCGCTTCGCTCTCACCTTCGGCCTGGATCAGATCAAGACCAGAGAGGCTGTGGCCACGCTGCACAAGTAAGAACCATGATCTGTTTGTGGCATAAGGCGGGGCTAACAGCTGTAACCAGACAGGGAGGAGGGGAAGAAAAACTGAGTTGTTAAAATAAAATGTGCAGGTTTTACAAAGCTGCGTTAGTCAAATTTAGAAATTAGATCTTCTATCGGGTAAGGGATTAGGTGTCAGGTTCCATCTGGGGTTCAGAAAGACCAAATTAAACATGGACAAACAAAATGATGATGACACAGGTTGCTACTTGGTCAAAGAGGAATTAGATATTTTACTAGGAAGTGTCAATTCATCATCTAATAGACTGAAGCCAAAGTGAGAACAACGTGTCATAAAAGTGACTTAAAAATTGAAACTAAGAGTTTAAACGCAATATCAGAGGTTTTCTATTTCTGTAACTCTTGGTATCTTTGGGACTTACTCTGTTTTGCTCTATTCCTTTTTTTACATTATTTCACTCTTTTTCTAACTGTCACCTTTCTGTCTTTGTTTCTCTCTCTCTCTCTCTCTCTCTCTCTCTCTCTCTCTCTCTTCATCATGTATCAGGGATGGAATAGAGTTTGCATTTAAGTACCAGAATCCCCGAGGACCAGAGTTTCCTCCTATCAACCTGGCCTTCCTGGAGGTCCTGAGTGAATTCTCCTCCAAACTAATCCGCCAGGACAAAAAGACAGTGTAAGTGTCCAGTCATATCATCAGACTATATTATTCACATAGATTAAAGATCCTTTACTGTCTTGTAATGAAAAGTTATTCATAAATAAATCCCCATGGAGTAAGTGGTATCATCCTGAGTCAAGTTCAATTGCTGGATTTCTCCTCAGCCACTCGTATCTGGAGAAGTTCATGTCAGAGTCGATGTCGGAGCGTCGGGAGGACGTGTGGCTGCCGCTGATCTCCTACAGAAACAGCCTGCTGACAGGGGGAGACGAGGACCACATGTCCGTCACGTCAGGCTCCAGCAGCAAGACCGGCTCAGTCCGCAGCAAGAAGGGGCGACCGCCGCTACACAAGAAACGCATCGAGGGTGAGCAGACAGTAGAGACTAGCGTTACGCTGTTTGTTTGGCTCGGCTGCACTGAAACCATTACGGGAAAGGAGACATGTACGCGGTTACCTACCACTGCGTTGCTGAAGCTGTGGACTTTCTCTGTGTGTTCGTTTGCAGAGGAGAGTAGTGTGGAGGGCTCGTGGATGATGCGTAACGACACCCTACAGACACCGGGGGCGCTGCAGACCCCTCAGCTCACCTCAACAGTCCTCAGAGAGAACAGACCGGCAGAACACTTGCCAGACCCGGACTCAGAACCCGGATCAGAGAACGACTTCGTACACAAGTGAGATCATTCACATACCGTGCACACGCATGTACTGTTCATCCACATACAAATGCTGAAATAGAGCATTTGTGTCAGTCAGCATCTTTCTTCCATTTATTCCTACATATTGAACTGATGTGTATTACTGTGAAAATTCAGCTTTTTTTGTAATAGCAAGTACACAGAATAGATATAAAAGAGGAGCATGTTGACCGTCTGCCTGTCTGCAGTCCTCAGATGCAGATGTCGTGGCTCGGTCAGCAGAAGATGGAGGAGGTGAACAGGAAGGACCGGACGGGCATGAACTACATCAAGTCACGCAGCAATCAGGGCGTCCGGCAGACTGTGTAAGTGTGTTTAGCCTTTGACCTTACGGCATAGGCTACAGTAGATCCATGATGCTCGGTGAAACCTGGATCACAAACTTTGTGTGATAAATAAACTGATAACAAGAAAAAATAAACTGTTCCTTGCCTCCGACTCTTTAGGCGCGGGTTGATGGAGGATGACGCAGAGCCAATCTTCGAAGATGTGATGATGTCATCGCGGGGTCAGCTGGAAGACATGAACGAGGAGTTTGAAGACACTATGGTGATCGACCTGGTCAGTAACATCGCTTCCTCTTGAACTGTGACTTTCCACAGAAGCACTGAGGACCCTGTTCATTTCTTTCTTCTTCATTATCTTTTTAACTTTTGGTTTTTTACCTTCTCAGCCGCCATCGAGGAACAGACGTGAAAGAGCAGAATTAAGACCCGACTTCTTTGACTCTGCAGCAATGATTGAGGACGAGTCGGTGAGTAAGACTTTGCACACTTTGTCATTTATGTAAATAGAGCTGAAACAAGGAGTCAGTTAATAGATGAGAACAAATGACAGAAAATTAATCTGCATCAATCTTTTTATCGCAAACATTTTTTATAGCCACTGAATTCTGATTTTATTTTTTTGCCTTTTATGGCAGTCACCCTGGGCTTGATGATGTAAACATTTTTCACTATCTGAATGATTTATCAAGAAACGAATCTGCAAATTAATCTGTAATCATTAGTTTCTTAATTAATCTCAAATTACATACAGTATTGAACGTTCTGTAAACTTTCACATCACAGTTTAAAGCCACTATGTGTAGAATTAGAGCTTTTTGACTTTGGAGCCCTCTAGTGGTAATATTAAAAAAGACACTGCTATGCACACTGCTTACTGTTTTTCTGACATTGTTTTGGTCCATTGTTCCAGGGATTCAGCATGCCCATGTTCTGATCCGGAATGAGGTAAAGATCCTGAGTTCAGGATCCAAATCAGGAGTACAGATGAGGGGAGGGGTCTAACCCAGATCACCTGCCAGTCAAACTCTTAAGAAGAAGAAGAAAAAAAACATTGTTGAAGTACTTTTCTCTTTCTGTAAGACATGATGGAAGGATGTTTGTCAAGCGGATCTACTGATGGATCCCAAATCGGCTGGATCTCACCTGGAAGCATTAAGCGAGGATCCGCTCTGTTTTTATCAGACGGGCTGGAGGATCCAGAACCTAGTCCGGATTATTCAAGAGCTTCATCCTGCTCCTACTCTTCCTCCTGTTCCTCCTCAGCCTGTTGGTTTAGCTCTTCTTAGCGGTAGCTCTGACGGCGCTCTGGCTGCGTAATCCTGCAGCCAGCCAATGAGTACTCGCAGTTTTTACGGTTTTCTGTTACACAGATGTAAAGTTGTTTGGTTCCGCTCGCGATCAGCAGCACAGAGCAACGTAACACTCTGTACAGCCCCCCCTTGTTTTGGTGTCGCACTTCGATCCGTCTGGTTAAATCCAACATAGAGAGGATCTCAGTACTAAATGTTCTATATCTTTGCTCTTACTACCACCCACCCACCCCTCTCTCCTCTCTCTCCTCTCTCTCTCTCTCTCTCTGTTCGCCATCTGAGTCCTTGTGTGTGGTGGTGCTGGTGTGTGATATGTGTGTAAAGTGTTGGTGGTGATGACGATGGTTGAGTAGTCGCACATGCACACAGAGGTCAACAGCTGTAGGCCGACCTGGAGGAAGTGATGTAACTGTCTTGTGTGTGATGTCAAAGCAAAAGCGAGTGTTGTCGTTTGACGGTGAAGCCGCACCCTTTACCGCCCTCAGACAGAAGCCCCACCCTCTCAAATCTTTGAAACGTTCTGTACACACACACACACACACGCCCTGAATAATGGCTTTTTGAAGTAAAAAAGTTTTAAAAAAAGACAATAAACATATTTTGAATTCTGTAGCTTTAGTACTAAAGTTTTAAATCAAGTGTGTTTTTGTTTTTGTCTGATGTTTGTACAGCTTTTTCTTGAATATGTATCTTGTTCGTTGCCAAATTGTGGCCTACATACTTACAGTATATTCCAGCCCCTCCCCCTCCACCTGTAAGTCATATCTAACGGTTACCAAGCTCAGATTGTTGCTGTGGGACACCAGCTTTTAAGCGCTGTATGGTCTGATTGTAATCGTTTCACAGTTCAGTATTACAGCAGATTATTTGTTCAGTTCCTTCATCTTACAGGTCATAATCAAGTTACTTCAATTTTTACACCTGCAGAAACAGTGTTAACTGATCCAGAGTTGAAGATTTGTTGTTATCATTGTTCATATCCAGTGCAGTGATGGATCTTTATGTCTGACAGATTTGTTTGAATGTGTTTTGAATGTGTCCAGCCATATCTTTATTCACCCTCTGTTGGTTAATCAGTCTTTTATTTTTCCTCATTGGCTGGCTCAGCAGTCCTCCTGTAAATATCAGAGACAATTGGATCTTCTCTGCAGTGCAGTTGACATCAGTTGCCCTAAAATGCTCTAAAAGCCAGTTTTTTTTCTGTGAACCTAAATTCTTTTTAATAAAATAAAATCTGTAATCGATTTACGGACCGGTGTTTGTGTGTCTCACGTCCTCAGTATTTGTTCAGAACAGCTGCAACAGTTTTCAGCTTTTTCAGAGATTTCATCGTCAATTTCATCTCATGACATTTCATTCTTGACCCGGGAAGCAGCAGCAGACTCAAGGCCCACTTACTCTCTTGTTCTAGAGTTTTTGACTGTATAACACAGGCCCATGGAGCAGGTCTACTGGGTACAGGCTCATTTGACCCCTTCATTTAACCACCAAAAGACAAAGCAACCACATAAACACTCAAAATGACGACAAAGAGCCCATGATCACAAGTGCATGCAAAACAACCACAGAGACGCAACGTTGTCATTTTTACACATCACTTTTTGTATGGTTTGTCATATTTACATATATTTTGTATGAATGAAATAGAACATGTTGATTGGTTATCTTCAGAGCTGTTGGTAGATTGATTTTTTTTTTTTTTTTTCTTGGCCATACTTGCTGTTTTAGTTGCACTAAGCTTAAATTAGCTTTAGCAGTGAGTGACATCAGATAATTTTCTCATTTAACTCCCAGCAGTGAAAGATTTTGTTCCTTAAACACCAACCTAACTTCTGCACTTCATTTTTAATTCATAACTGCTTGACTATTTCAGCCTTCTGTCGTAGTCCTTCAGTTCCTCTGAATGTTCACATACATTGGACAAAGCAGCCATCCACTTACTCCATGTCTCATTTTATTTTTCAGATCAATTATTTATATTTGTCAAAAAACACTAAGTTGACAACATATACTACATCATTGGTAGAATTAAATCAAACACACACAGTAGTGTCCTTGATTTATTTTACAGATGGCAGAGCAGAGCCTGCCCGAGACAGAAGGCACAGTTCCAAGATGTGAAAATGACTTTTTCTTGACCTTAACGGAGGATATCAAACAGAGGGAGCGCAAACTACTGTACAACCTAGAGGAACTTAATACAGTACATCAGCAGGGTTTGGAAATACCGTACATGACAACAGACCACAGCATGTTTGCATTTTGCTGTCGATAGTTGCCTGTGGTTTTAAAAAATGCATATTATTGGCAACATGTAATCTGCCCTTTCAGATACAGCCTTGTTTTTAGAATATCCAATCGTACCAACAATAGTGACCAATATGGCCACTACTGACATGATAGTCATTTAAAATGTGTGTGACTATTCCATTCAGATATTGTAAAATGTGTTCAGCTTTTCCCATGAACATCTTGCATATCAGTGGTGAAGATGTAAAAGTAAATATACACGCCCTGATTTTGTTTACAGAGCTCTAACATTTCCCACAAATCCTAAAAAATCCCCACAGCTTGAGGCTGATGCAGTTTATAGTTCAAAAAATAGCTGGGAGGAAATCTGGAGCCACTATTAAAGCAGGAACAAGATCAAGGCGTGTATCTCCATGTGTTGCTTTCAGTGGAGTGGTAAATGACAGTTTTAAACAACAGCAGCAAGGAGAAACTGTGAAATGAAACATGACAACTAACATCTGCTGAGCAGGCTACCAAAGTCGTCATCCCGGGTCACCACTGCAGTTCATTTGTTTCGTTTGAATACTAGTGAAATCCCGCAGCGAGTGCCTTTAGGTAGTGTTAATGTGGAAACTGTCTGGGTGTGTTTCACAGAGGAATGTTGGCGTGTTTCTTCCAGGGGTTGACTTGCTTCTTGCTGGCCAGCACTTCCAGATCTCTGCAGATCTTCTTGCGAGTGGTCGACGGCTCGATGATGTCATCCACAAAACCTAAAACAAAGATTAGGACAGTCAGAGAGAAGTGTATCATGTATTATATTTGTTTGCTGTTTTTTTTTTGGGGAAAGTTTACCTCTGACAGCAGCTGGGAAGGGGTTGGCAAACTTCTCCACGTATTCAGCCTCTGCCTCTGCTTGGTTCTCCTTCCCTCTGAAGATAATCTGAACAGCACCCTGAGAAAAAAAAGCAGAACAGAACATGCACAATGTCAAATCAAAAAAATAAAAAAATAAAGGAGGGGGAGAGATAGAGTCAAAACAAAAAGAATGAGCGTGTTTGTACCTTAGCACCCATGACAGCAACCTCGGCCGTGGGCCAGGCGTAGTTCACATCTCCTCTCAGGTGTTTGGAGCTCATCACATCATAGGCTCCTCCATAAGCCTGACATGCACACACAAAACATACTGAGTCTCAGTCATGTCACACTGAACAATATAATTTTTTTTTTTCTAATCTGAAAACCACTGATTTTATTTTTATACACGACAACATGAATTCTCTACCGACAGAGCTCCCCCTGCATTGATGAAAAAAAAATGTTAATTTGCCTTAAGCAAGTTGAAAATACTGTAGCAGGCAGAGATGAAGCAGTGCATGTTGCAATGCAAACTCTGCACTTCCTGCAGCTGCTTCACAGTCAAAGTACTTCAGTGAAGGGAATTTATAATGACCTTTGTGATGAGGAAGCAGCAGGATGTGTTGGTTAGCATCTAACATGAGGTTTTAATTAATCACACGCACCTTTCTGGTAATGATGGTTATTTTTGGGACGGTTGCCTCTGCAAAAGCAAACAGCAGTTTGGCTCCGTGTCTGATGATGCCTCCATACTCCTGAGCGGTACCTGTTGACAACCAACAGTGTGAATTTACAGATATGACACAGACTATGTTTCGGTGTAAAGAGGTTATTGAGGAATACCTGGCAGGAAACCTGGCACATCCACGAAGGTGATGATGGGAATGTTGAAAGCATCACAGAAGCGAACGAAGCGGGCTCCCTTCACTGAGGAGTTGATGTCCAAACAACCTGATGCACAAGACAGAAATAAATTAATTTCCTAAGACATTAAGAAATCATTTATGCCTTTCTTTCTTTACTCACCAGAAGCCACTTTGGGCTGGTTACCCACGATGCCCACGGTGCGTCCATTCATGCGGGCGAATCCCACCACAATGTTCTTGGCGTAGTTGGGCATGATCTCGAAGAAGTCCTGCTCATCCACTATCTGAACAGGTGCATGAAGAAAGGAAAATATTACTACTGGCAAACTATTACTACTTACATGAGATGTAGGTGCACACATTAGAGTGTGTGTGTGTGTGTGTGTGTGTGTGTGTGTGTGTGTGTGTGTGTGTACGTGTACATACTGCTTGAATGATGTCCAACATATCGTAGGCTTTAGTCGACTCAAACGGGACGATAGTGTCCAATGAAGTGACCAGACGATCACTGAAAAAGAAACGAGATATCAGACACGAGTTGAAAATAAAAACAGATATTCTCTCACGAAGAAAGGTGATCGGTTGTTCTGTGAAGCGGAGGTAAAGATGATTGGTTACCTGGGGTCGTGGCACTCCCTGATAGGGGATGGTTCCTGATTGCTGAGCGGCAGGAAGTTGAAGAACTCTCGCAGGCTGAGGAGGGCTTCGACGTCATTCTCAAATGCATGATGAGCCACGCCTGACAACAAGACATGAAATGACAGTATTTAGAATCAGAAGTATCTTAAGTGTCTTTGAATCAAGGAGGTGGTCACAGGTGAGCTACTGCAAGATTTACATGTTGATTTGACACTTTACACTAAAAATGTTGGAGGTGAAGATGATTTATAAAAACTCAACGAGAAAATCAGTAGAAATAAATGCCTTAACATGTAAACTAACCTGACACGCTGGTGTGTGTTTTAGCTCCACCGAGCTCCTCTTGAGTAACGTCTTCGTTGGTGACAGACTTCACGACATCTGGTCCTGTGATGAACAGGTATGATGTGTCCTATACACACAAACAAACACACACATCACACACACACGTCAGAAACTGGCATTTGGAAATACTGAAACATTTTGGTTGCCTTCAGTCGCTAACATAAAATGAAAGCAGAACAGTTCTGGATTAGTATGTCAGCTGTATTTTTGTGGGTCCTTAATACCTTCACCATGAAGGTGAAATCCGTCAGCGCGGGAGAGTAGACGGCCCCTCCTGCACAGGGACCCATGATGAGGGAGATCTGAGGGACAACTCCTGAAGCCATCACATTCCTCTGAAAAAGGAAAATGTTTTTACTTTTACATTGATAAAAAGTAAAAAACAATTTGCATTTCAAAATGTTAACAGTGGGAATATGTTAAACCCACAAAAATGTAAGGTGCCTACAGTCTCTGAGGAAAGACTCAGATCTTGAGGTTTGGTAGGTGTGATTTTGATATTAAGATTTCAGTTAATGAGCAGTGACGTGCAAAGACTCCACAAAATGACCACACCAGGAAAATATCTGCATATCCAGCCAGAGACTCCACTCCCTCCTGGATCCGAGCTCCTCCAGAGTCATTCAGCCCGATGACCGGGGCGCCAACTGTCATGGCCTGATCCATGATCTGAGCACAGAACATTTGAAAAGTCTGAGTTCAAACATGAAGAACCACTGACAAAATACAAATACACTAACAGACAAAACATGCTCAGAGTGCACAACGAGGTTATGTTTTAAAATATGAATTGGTGATAAGGTTCCTGGTGGTTTCACTAACCTACCTTACAGATCTTCTGTGCATGAGCTCCAGACAGACTGCCACCAAACACTGTGAAGTCCTGAGACAAACAGAATATTATACAAGCGAAACGGAGCTGCTCTGCATTTCAAAAATTTACAATTTCCTACAATAAAGTTATGTATTATGTGTTGTACCTGACTGAATACATAGACCAGTCGCCCATTGATCCTGCCTCGGCCTGTCACGACGCTGTCACCTGGGAACTAAGACAGCGAGAGAGAAAAAGATATGCTGACAATAAAATTTCAAAACCCAAGAGGAGGGAACTGTTGCGAACTTTAATTGGACGAAATAGGATTTGACCTGTCACCTTGTTTCTGTCCTGCTCCATGCTGAAGTCAGAACAGCGATGCTCCACAAACATGTCCGTCTCCACAAAGGACTCATGGTCCAGCAGCAGCTCCACTCGCTCCCTTGCTGTCAGCTTACCCTGCAACACACACACACCCAGTCACTACATTGTGATTGTGCAGTTTGACTATATATATACTGTGACACAATATTTAATTTGTCTGTGCTGTATTAAGGCACTACACTGTGTTCAGTGTTGCAAATTATTTAGTAAAGCTGCTTTATATTGGTCACCGGTATTAAATATTGGTCCGATACCACTGCTACCTTGAGGTCAGGGATTGCTGTTTCCCTAGAAACTGAGTCGGTAGCTGATCATGAAATCTTTAATAACACCATCAGACAGATCAGCATGATCCCAAGCAATTCAACCGATCAGCCAAAAGCAGAGATTCCTGTCCTCCATTTAACTAACTAACTACAGTTTCTCAAGTGATCTTCCATAAAATTTTAATGTATTCTGATATAAAATTGCATACATAAATCTTAATAGGGAATTTTATCAGTGTTGCTGATAAACAGTTGATCTTGTATTTGCAGGTACAACCACCTGCCAAATAATTTTACTCAGCAAAGCAGAGCAACATCCCTAATAACTATTACACTAACTTTTACCAACAAAATAGCAGTAATGATCCTCTATAGTATCTTTTAGGCACAGAAATTCACGTCATGTTGAATGTACTGTAACATTGGATACTGGGACTCTCATTTTCAAATGCCAGAGGACTATAGGAATATGTTTAGGGGTTTGTTGTTTGAGCTTTAACTTCTATCTGAAGTTGGCAGAGGATTAGTACCTTGCTCAAGGGCACTGAGAGGTGGATGTTGCTGAAAGTATCTCATGTGCCACTGAGTAACACATTTTCCAAGAAGAGCAAGAAAGTTGGTTCGTGAAGATAATTTAAATGTGTTGTAGGGAAAACAGTGAACACTCCAGCAGTAACCACGGACTTAGAGCCTTTGAGCCAGGCATTTTACCCATCAACCCCTCCTGTTGTCAATGTGGCCACAGCAAATTAGACTAAAAACCCGCAAGCATGCTCAAGTTAATGCATGTTAACATAAAGACATAAAGTCAATGTTAGCTGACTTTACCCTTTTGTGTTGTGCATCTATTCTCTTCTGACCTCCCCCGACTAGGGCCGCCTTTCGTTTCCTGTCAATCCTCTCCTTAACGGACAGGTGGCTGACCGAGTACCAGCGGCTGTCCCGTTGCAGGCTCGTCTGCGGCACTGAAGCAGCGACTGCGCCATGTTTCACTTGAGCCAAACTCCTGAAAGATATCTTCAACCCATTTATCAGTCCGCAGCTGCTTCGAGCCACACTGAAGGCCGCCATCATGGCTGCGCGTGTTCTCGGATGACAGCGGCCGGGGAATGAAAGGCAGAGATTTGAGCCAATAGCGAAAGGGGGACGCGCTCTCACAGCCAATCAGAGAGAAAGAAGTTGTAGCTTTGGCTGATGGGCGGGACCCAAAGGGGATCGGGTTTTCCTGTAGTTCATAGGGGCCGAAATCTGAAAGTCAAGATATTGGGACATTTTCCGCCCTGAATTTATTTTGTCAGGTAAACTTTCCCATTTGCTTGTCATCGTTTTCACTGCTTGGCAATTTTTGCCCCCAAACATTGCCCTAACCGGGCATGTTGTTCGGGGAAATGTGAGCTCAAAAATAATTGCTGCGAGTCTTGCGACCCTAGGGGGTGAGGGCTGCCTGAAAGGTCTAACACGGGGTAAAAACAACCCAATTAAAATCCCAAATACTATATTTTCATGTCAAGTTCATTAGTTATGCAGCAGGCAATGTTTCACACGAGTATGCTGCCCTGTAGAAACATGTGTAAGACATATAAATTATGCTTTAAACAGACATACTTATATATACTATATAGAGGTTATACCAGCAGGACAGAAATAACCAGTGTGAGTGAAATGATGTATGGAATATAAGAACATCACAATGTTTATGTACTAGATATAATACAACAACATTCTCAGCTGTGCCTGGATTAATTTTGCACTGGAAAACAAGGTCTGGTGCAGAGATATCTTTGAGTCTTTGACAAAAACAACTACCAGAATAGTTGTTAATTAATTTTCGGTCAACTGACTTATGATTTCAGCTGTACTCTAAGAATCCAATTGTATACGTCTTTCGTATTTTTATATGTAAGACGTGCATCTAAGTATCTTGTAAGTAAAACTATCAAATAACTGTTGTCGGGCCAAAAGTAGAATATTTCCCTATAAATTTTAGCAAGCTGATCGAGTTTCAACCCTCAGCTGCACTTTTCTGCAGCGTGATTCAGTGCCGATTTAACCCTTTGAAAATTTTAGTTTCTTAGAACGAGAACTGGTAAAAGCCGATGATATGGCTCCATGGTTTGATCTTTACTCTTCTTTAACTTTTATCTTTCCTCGCCCTCTTATGAACAAAATAAATGAATTGCTACTTTTAATTCTGAAGTTGTTTATGACAATAAATAAAGAAAGCGAACGAGGGCACTAGAATACGCTGTGAAGGCTTCGTACACTACGGTAACCAGGGTAACTAGACGAAGTCTCGCGTGATGATCATGCCTGTCGAGAGGGGTTGATGCGAGGAAAAGTGGAAAATCGAATGCTTGATGCAATTGTAAAACGGCTAGTTAGCTATGTTTCGGTCAGCACTCGCCAAGTATTATAGTAAAACGTATCAAAATCGAAGGATTTCAATTTACAGCTTGTTTTTCCCTCCTGTGCGTGAGGTATAAGGCGGCCCTAGGAGGGATAGTGATACGGTTGATTTTTCGCTAGCTAATTTGGCTAGCCATGCTATCGCTAGCTGGTTAGCTTTGTTTACATCAAGTGCGCGCCTGCGATCTGTTAGCTAATTGCTAACCAAACAAACTTGCGATCTTAGCAGCAGCTCAGCGTTCAGTTAGACATCGGCACGGAGACAGTGTTGGATAGTAAACTGGCTCTATGGCTAACATCGACCATCTCTCGTGTAAAACGTTTGGCTGATATCGTAAGCTAACGTTAGCTCTATAATGCTAACCATGGGTCGTTTGATCATTTGGTTCTTCGTTAGCTGTTAAGCTACGTTAGGGATAATGTGAGTTACTATAACATAGGGTCGAACTGGTCCGAATTAACAGAAACTTTAATTGTGATCTGACAGATCTCGATGGTGAATAGTAACGACTACCGGTGATGCTAACTTTAGCTAGCCACCTGCCGAGCTAACGTTGTGCGCGTTTATTGATAACCGCTTCACCATGCTCGTTGTCTATTATTGTGTCTATTATTAATTCGTATGTCTGCATTGACACACTGGAGTGACTGATTGTTGCACCAGCAGGCCAGCTTATATTTCCTCCATCCACCCTGAGACTCGGCTATCTTTAGCTCCGTCGTAGCGAGTAGCGAGTGGCTGGATTTTTTTCCCGGGCCGTGTTTCCCTGAGGCTGCGGAGTACACCGCTATGAACCCCGTTAATGCAACCGCTCTGTACGTGTCTGCGAGCCGGGCCGTGCTGCAGTGTGACCCGCGGCAGCCACAGACCTTCGCAGAGATGTACACGCTACTGCCCTTCTTCCGACAGTCCCTAGCATGCCTTGTCTGTGGTAAGCATCCTGATGATATTAGTACATCACTGCATGATTATTCTGTTTCCTACCGCTAATTGGTTTAACTGTACTACACTGGACGAGCGTTTCATAACCTTACTATTCATATTGATTAAAGTGTCCGTGGGCGTGCGTGTGCTCGCAGCAGTTGACACGATTTGTCGTGCTCACCACCGTGGTCTCCTTAGCAACCGAGGCTGAGCCCCAGTCATCTGTTCTCTTGTCAAGACAGATGACTCCTCTGCTGTTGTGCCTGCTGCAGAGCCATGTGTTTCCTATTCATGCCTTATTTACTCACCCCGCTTAGCTAGTGGAATATAAACACTGGCCCAGCTTGTATTTAGAGATGGGCAATATTTGCAAAGTGATATATGACGATATTTATGACCTCCATTGAATATTTATGGTTTTTTGGCATGATTATTTGTGCTTTCATACATTATTTAACCTGAACTGTTGGTTGGATGATGTAAGCAGTAAAAATCAGTAATGCCAACATAATGATTAAGCAGGTTGGAGTCTTCTTTGTTTATTTCAATAAACTGGGACAGATAAGTTACAGAAAAGTCCAAATACACCCATATTTAAGGTGTAGAAACAAATAAAATCCCAAATGAGTAATACTGTTATTGATTTCCCTGCTCTGTTTGATCAGTGCATCAGTTGGTACATTGAGCTGAATCAATACAGTTCATAAATTGTTGTCAGTTGACAGAAAATTGTTTGGCATCTATTTTGAAAATCTATTAGGTGTTAAGGTAATTTTTCAAGCAACCACTCCAGCTTCTCATTTGTGGGCATTTTCTCCCCATCTCTGTTTTCTGTCACTGTAAACCTAATGTCTTTGAATTTTGGACTTTTGGTAAGCGAAAACAAGATATTAGAAGAAGTCACGATAGGCTCTGGGAAATTGCAATAGGAACACCAATGGTTAATGGAGAAAATAAGAGGAAGATTAATCAATTCATCTGGTAATTATGATAGTTTTCTGTAGAGGCATGATGGTGAATGGAAATGGTTTTAAATGACTCTGGTACAGCTAGTTGATTGTGTCATATTTGCTGTGCGTAAGCACAACGTGCATAAATAAGTGGATTAACAGCTCCCTCTTGTTTTTGTCTCAGGTAAACTGCTCCAGGATCCCATTTCCCCAACACATCCAGAGTGTCAGCATTACGTCTGCTTGGGCTGTAAAGGCCAGAAGATGCAGATCAGGCCATCGTGCAGCCGCTGTAAGGACTATTCCAGCTTCCAGGAGAACAAACAGCTCTCCCTGCTTGTTCAGTGCTACAGGAAGCTTTGCCTCTATGTAACTCATTCACCGTTGCTGCAGTTGGTCAGCAGTCATGCGGGAGGATCTCCAGAGGTTATGGCCTTGCTAGAGGAGGTGCTGATGTCACACGAAGAGGACATAGAGACAGAGGACCAGAGCCTAGCACAGGAAGATGTGACTCCTTCTGCCCCTGACTCACTTACCCCCACAGAGGCACCACCTGTTCCTGCAGAGCTCTCAGCTGTACCCCAGAGTTCCTCCTCTGACCCTCCCTGTTCCAATGGGCCGCAGGGATGCAATGGAGAAGTGCTGGAGGAGCTGGACCCCTCTTCTCCTGAGCTGGAAGTATGTGAGCTGGTAGAAGAACAGCCACAGACACCCCTGTCTGTTTCCAATACTGGTTGTAGTGGTCTGGAACTGAGTCTGACCACTGGACCTTTAGCCCCAACTCCAGGCACTGTGTGCTCACTCAGGGATGGGGAATCTAGCAGCAGGGAGCTGGAGGAAGGGGAGGTGTTGCTCCTCAGTGTGGAGGAGGTGTTACAGACTTTGGATCCCCTTCAGCCCAGTCGAGATTCTCCTCACACACAGCCAGATAGGACACACACTCACACACACATAGCCACGGACAGAGCACACGCTCAAATGTACATACAGCTGGATGCAGCTCATAACTACACACAGATTCAAACGGACAGGACTAACACAGTGGCAAGCCATGGTGCTCATATACATACATCCTCCTTTGATCCCCCTCCAACCTCCAAACCCCCGCCAGTCCGCCTTAACCGTAAACGGTCTCGTTCAGAGAGTGATAGGGAAAAGGTGAAACCCCTCCCTATCACCTCCATCCTACAGGGCTCATCTTCAAATTTACACACTCCAAAGCCCTCTCATACACTGCACACACAACCACCCACACCCTCCTTAACTGTACCAGCACACACATACTCATCCCTTCCCAATGGGGCGCCTCCCAAGCCCAGCCGCCCTGCACCCAACCACAGTAAAGCTGCCAGGAAGCATGTTGATCCGGGCCCTAAGAAGCCGCATGCCAAGGCCCGCAGTGGCGGAGGCTCCAAAACTAAGGACCGAAGCAAAGACCAGCGGTTGATGGCAGGCTGCCTGGTGCCCCCAGCACCTGTCAGGCCTCCGTACAAGAAGCCAGTGGAGAAGAAGGGCTGTAAGTGTGGCAGGGCCACCCAGAATCCCTCTGTGCTGACCTGCAGGGGGCAACGCTGTCCCTGTTACTCAAACCGCAAGGTGAGACTGATTATTGCGTGCATGGAATTTATTAATGTATAATGCCATCATTAAGTGATATGTAGATTTTTGTTGCAACTTTTTCATGTAGTGTAAGTGTAAACATTTGTGAATGATACTATCATACTATTTTTAGTTTTTTTTTTTTCCATTTTATTTAAAGATGTTTTTGATTTTATTTGTACATTGCCATGATTTTTAATTCAGAAAATGTGATTTATGTGATCTAAAAACCAAGCTTAATATTGAATCCTGACGACATTTTTTAAGATTTTATGTGACATTAGTGTGATGCAAATAGGCAAATGTCCTTATCTCTTCTGTCATCTTTCTCAGGCGTGCTTGGATTGTATCTGTCGAGGTTGCCAGAACTCCTACATGGCCAACGGTGAGAAGAAGCTCGAGGCCTTTGCTGTGCCAGAGAAAGCCTTGGAACAGACACGGCTCACGCTCGGCATCAACCTCACCAGCATCACGGCGGCCGCGGCGCTCCGCAACCCGGCAACCACCAGCATCCGTGCAAACACCCTCCTCAATGTCGCCACAGCAACAGGAACCCCTGTAGCTACAGCCTTCCTGGCCCCAAGCCCCCCGCAAGAGCCCAACTATGAGGACAGCCTGGAGCTGCTGATTGGATGAGAGGCTGGGACTCCAAAAACAGACAGCTCGGTGCTGATTGAATGTGACGGCTGATCATTGTGTCTGTCAGACAACCTGTACCTTCCCCTCTCAACAGGGGAGGCAATCTAAGGCAGCTATGGGTCTGTCCTGTCCTGTAACCTGCTCTTCTCGTTTATTGGAAAATGCTGAGTAGTAAGACTAGCATGGGTGTGCCAAAGCCTCCTGTATTGTGCCTGTGTGCCGGTGTGTATTGTTGCCTGTCTGTAGTTAAACACTTATACTCGGTTCCACAGCTGTTCTGTACTTCAGAGGTGCTTTTTGTTCATAGACCACAGACATACTGTAAGAGGCAATAGGAACCCATACCAGGTTTTGTGTTTTGTTAGTGTGTGCGCACAATTATAAATCCAAGTGTGTGTAAGTGTGATTTTCTTTTTCTTTCTTTTTTTTTCTTTTTTGGTGCATAATGACAAAAAAAACTGCATCACATCTCTTTTACTTGTCACAGCATTTTCCATGTTTAAGTATTGCTCCATGCTTGAATGCATCATTGGTATCAGGACGACCCTTACTAACCCATAACCGTATACGTGTTCACACCTTAATTGTGAATGACTTTTTGTGACTAATCTATGGAGAACTTCTAACTCAAGACTGTATTGCCTTTTTCTATCTCATTAACTCACTCAATCCAAGTACTGTTGGCTGTTAATGAATTTGTCTTAATGAACTTGACTGATGCAGGCATTGTACAGGCAGCGAGATAATGTCAAAGCACTTGGCTGGCTCCACGGTTTCCCTGTATGTGTGTAAGTGTGTGTGTGAGTGTATGTGCCTGCTGAGATTTACTGTAGTGTCAGTGGGGAGGCGGATGGTGGGTTGTAAGCACTTAGTCTGATTGATTGGCCAAATTACAACAAAAACCATTTTTGGTTACCATAGCAATAGGAGCACCAACAAGGAGCCTCCCAGCTCTCATGTACACATGCTGTTGTTTACAGTATTGTTACTTGTAAACTATGACTGTCTTCTAAAATATTACACCATCATGTTTTGATTATGGGATTGTACATGACTGTGTGTGTGTGTGTGTGTGTTTTTGTGTGTTTAGATAAACTGAAGCCATAGGTTGTCATTAACAAGACAAAATATCCTCTGTGTCCATTTTTTTCCCCACAGTTGTAGTGTGCTGACTGATTAGAGACCAACTCAAGAGACTATTTTTGATACCAAGTGTTTGAGATTTGGTACCACTGTCTTTGTGTGTGTGTGTGTGTGTGTGTGTGTGTGTGTGTGTGTGTGTGTGTGTGTGTGTGTGTGTGTGTACGTGCGCGCACGAGCGTATGTGTGTGTGTGTGTGTGTGTGTTTTGGTTAAAGCACCTTGAAGCCCTTCATATAACCCAAGAGGCTGTGTATTGTCTGTGTTTGTGTTTACTGTCTCAGCTGTAACTACAACATGTTTTTCAGTCCAGTCATGGTGACCAAAAAGAGACTGAAGGAAAGAGAGAGTGAGGACTCAGGCTGACCAAACAAACACCTTGGTTCCCCACTCATAGACCAGGAAGTAGCAGGTGGATTACAGTGTGATCAGCAAATATGATCTATCTTCCTGCGTGTGTGTGTGTATGTTTCAAAATGTATTTCTTTTGGGCATTACTTGAACCCTGATTAGTTTTTGGTATTGTTTTTTTTTTATGTAAAAACTCTTGTTTGAGGAGTGACTCTTATTATTGCTGAAACATTCACTGCCATAATATGGAAACATGTAATACAACATGAATTAAATGATAGTTTTTTACTTTTTCAGTTTTGTGTCGTTTTTGTGTAGAGGGGGTATCTGACTTCAACCAAACCTGAGTGTGGCTCAACACCATATCCTGATAAACCATAACTATGAACACAGGAGTAGATGGAGGTTTGTGGTGGAGGCTAATGGGCTTTTTTTCTCAGAGAAGATGGGATGAATCTGGAAAGTGATGTTTACCAAAAAATAAAATTGAGGGATTATTGTTTACTTTTATTGTGATAGTGTTTTGTGCTGTAAACCGCTATAATTTTCCATTCAAGAGGGTTAAGAGCAAGAAAACTGAGTGGTCCAGTGAACATTGGGCATTTTGCTTCACCTCCATTACAACACATGATACGAAGCTCCTACTAAAATCTTGATATAAGTTTAAAACCTGGGAAAAGTAAAGTAGGAATTTAAAAAAATTACATATGTTATGCTTGAGTGTCATTTAGTTTTGTAGGTATTTGGTAAACCTAGAACCACAGTATGACACATAAAACAATAAATCTAAAGGTGATAGTGGCACTACAGGAAAGTTCAGGGGATCTTCAGAGTTATTAGGATTAATCATCTGGGGAGTTTTCATAGCAGTTGAGTTGTTGACTAATAAGGGATGGAATGTGTGTGGTGGTTTATTCCTTTGCCTTATTATCATCATTGACTGGGGGAAAAGCAAGGATTTTTTTCTATATTCATACATGGCAACCATTTGTAAATGTCTAAAGAAAACACAGATGGACATCCATTGGCTGTAGACCTGTAAATGTATCAGACAACAGTTTTAATATTCAGTTCATACTCGATCAGTGCTTCTCTTTAAGGCTACAGGTCATCACAATCATTATCACACTACACAGTCATTCATGACATTCCCGAAAAGGAGTACAGTACAGTGAACATAAATGATGCTTCATTCATTATATTGAGCATCTAAAATCTCATCTTGTGGCATTTATTTTTTGATACTTATTTTTTTTTTAATAAAAGATCAGTTTAGTGTCATGTATCCAACACTGCTGTCATTTCCTGGGGATGACAACTCAGCTGTTGACTGTTTGACCTGCAGGCAAAACATCTCACTGTGCTCTCAATGGGAGGCATTCACACACGAGAGTGCAACATTTAATCTGCATCTATTGTACTGCCGCAAATGCCTGAATGCACCACATAATCTGTGCTCTGTCAAGCAGTACATTCTGTTTGACAGAGATAACACCCTGTGTGAGGTTTAACAGTGATCAATTAATTGGTCACTGTTGGAGTAAAGGCACGCCAAATGGCTCTTCATCCTTGTCATATTGGGCCCCTGAGAGTCTGCCACTGCAGATCGGTTTGCTCATATCATCATATGATTGCACTCCAGGCAGTCCATCCTTCTCCAATCCTATATCCTCAGACAGCTGCCCATATTATCAAGCAAACCCCTGACATTTGGGTTAGCTTCAAGTCATCCTAGTCCTGGACACTTCTATCCATGCTTCTCTCTCTTTAGCCCACCAGGAAGGCCCCAAAGTAGCTCGCCCTCCCGTCCATCTCCATGGCGCTGGCATTGCTAACTGTGATGAAGAGGCGGTCAGCAGGCTGTAAAAAGGCGGTACCAGCCTGATGCAGAGAGAACAGACCAGGCTCCTGACCCCGAGGCCAGCAGGCACTCCTGGATGATTTCATCAGTAGGATGGGCACCGTGTAGGAACTCATCTGTTGGCAACACCACAAAAACTGGTCTTGAACAAGCCATTACATTAGACATTATATTGGCATGCAGCATTGATTTAAGAGAATTATACCCTTCTGACACTGTATGAAATAAATAGCTTACTTTTGGTGCATTCAAAGACACTTGGGGACATTTGAGTTTTGAGAGTTGGCTTGTGTTTACAAGCTGTGTAAACTGACTAAACTTGATTCACTTTGTCCAGCCTTACATTTTGTTCATATTAGCTAATTTGTGTTTGGGGAGGGATTTTTTTTTTGTGTTGCCCTCACTAATCAGTAGCGAATGGTAGTGAACGCTGGAAAACACTCCCCCATTGCTGCTCTTGAACATATCCCCTGCCAGTTCACTTGATCCTCCTTTCCTATAAATCAGAGCCAGGGGTATTTAAAACACCTGTTGGCATGTACCATGATTGTAGGTCGCCCCACTACTACAGCGGTATGTGACCTCACACTTTGTTTGCTTTAGAAAGAAACTGCGTTACGAAGGGTTTGACAGCTGTAGGTACTGTTTTAGTTTCGGTGCCAGGTTATTCCAGTGAGGCTTTCTGGTTGTAAACCTTTTCATGCCACTTTCATTAGTAGCGCCTGGACAACTGTTCAGTTGTTTTATTGTACTACATTGAGGATAATTCTATATATCGTGTTAATTAATTGGTATGTCCACATCTGCTTCTGTTTTTGCCTAGTTTTGTCTTTGTTTTAAATGCCTGCCATATGCTAACATTGTTTATACAGCTTTGAACCATTTTAAAATACTGTCTTACAACAGGACTTACAACAACCTGTACAACTTATATTGCGGTCGACTTTTTTTTAGCATTTGTTTTTCTTGGATTTAGCTGGTTAGCCAGCTAGTTAAGTGAGCTAGTTCTGTGAGGAAAAAGCAAATCGTTTGTGCCTACAAATCTCTAATTGGTCAATTTTTTTTTTTCAGCTGTCAGAAATAAAAGTCAAACGACACTAAACAAATCAAAGATGTGGTGTCAAAGATTAAAAGGTGTGGACCCAGGCCAATGCTCAACAGGTATGTAGTAGTAGTGTTTATGCTGAAGGTGTCTAAATTAGTCACTCAAAGATGACTGTATGCATATTAAACCTGCTTGACACATTTCTGAATGTGGTGTTGAACAGTATTAGTTAGGTTGCCACTGTCGCCCCAAGGCAAGAAGGTTCTGGGTTTCAACCCTGCTGTCTGGCTGGGGCCTTTCTGTGTGCAGTTAGCATGTTAGGCTAATTGGTGACTTAAAAAACTGCCTGTGTGAATATCATTATGTCATCCCTGTGATCCCTGGTGACCAGATGTCAGCTGTACCCTCAAAAGGATAAGTGATATAGCTGATGGATGGGTGTATGGTGCATAATGTCCAGGATTGTTTGTACAGTGATCATTTCTTGGATCAGAAGGTTGCTGTTGGACAGCCTCATAACAAAGTTATGACATAATCTTCACTGTGATGAATTATCTATCACAACTGTTTTCCAGTTCCAATATTGTCCTTTTTAATAGGATGCACAAAGCCTAACCTTCTTGTAGATATACTGGACAAGCTGTGCTTCTTCTTCCTCCCTTGTTTCCCCCATCTCCCCCTTTGTTTCCCCTTCTGTCTCCCCCGAGGAGGGCAGTCTGAAGTAGGTTTGTGCGTAGATGTAATAGAGGCCCGCTCTTGGCACCAGCAGCTCTCCACCTCTCAGCTCCATGTTCTGCAGGAACGATAAACCTCTCTGTCCCTCCCACGCTCTGATACACTCCCCCAGGTACCCCCTGCTGCTCCGCGAGCCTGCGATGGCACATAAAACACACAACTCATAAAACGAGCAGAAACACACACATGCACAAGGGTTGAAGCAGTTCACTATGATGCAAGATCATTTGAGATTGCAGGGTGGAGTGTTGCTGAGTTTAAACAGTCACTGCTCAGATACTCAAATTAGAAACAAATGTTAAAGAGCCTCTGTTTGTAAATAACACTTACAGATGTGCCCACAGCCCAGCAACTTCTCTAATAGATTAAGATAAACTCAGCGATGTGTTGTGAAGAAAAGTTGTCATTTCATTCTGCCATGTTTTTTTTTATTTTTTAAGCTCAGTGACAACGGCCATAAGTTTAAAAAGCACCAGAAGTGACAGATGAGATCAATCCCAAAAGGGTGTGTGTGTGTGTGAAAAGGAAGAGATTGATGACGGTCCTTTTTAGATTTATGACGCACTTCATTGGTTTGATTTCAACGATTTGCTTCCACATCACTGGTGATTACAGGTGCAACAGAGAAGGTCATGGAAAAACTGCCGTTTTATTTAGAGTAAAGTTATTCTTTAATGACTTAAGAAAAATTTTCCACCCTATTAGATGTGTGTTTCCAAAATTTGGCAATGGGGAAAAAAAAAACAAAACCTCCCAAGTAAAACAGATGGTCTACTGGTCTGTGGTGCATATCATGTAAACTTTCTGATCTAATTCTGGCTGTGGGTTTGTTGCGTGTTATCCTCTTCTCACTGTTTACTGAAAATTCATTCTGAAGCCATTTTTGACAATAAAACATGTATTAAGGTAGATTTTTGCATGTGTGTTTTTATGTTAATTTGCAGAACAAAGGGTGATTACGACATTCACTTTACCAACAGAAAACTGCAGGAAGCTCCAGGTTATACAAAAGCAGCTGCGCATCTGCGGGTCCTGACAGATATGCAGGTAGGCAGATGTTATTGAATCTGTAAGTAGCCGGGGAAGCCTTGAAGCACATTCCTCACCTCTGACACTGGAAAGGTATGGGTGAAGCAACACAGGGCTCATTTCACCTAATCTATACACAACACACCTATGACCTTGAGAGCCACAAAGTCCAGTCTCACAGATGTCACTCGTATGCTTTCGAGGACCACATTACCTTTTAGAAAAATAAACGTCTGTAGATACATTGCACACTACAATGATAATGATACTCACCTTCTGCTGTTGGAGCCTCTGTGGAGGAGGAGACGACACCCGTAACATGAGCCGCAACTCTAGGAAGAGGGACCCCAGGGCTCAGGATAGGAAGCACTCCCGTCAGCTTATCTGTGAAAACGCAAGCAGATAAGAGACACACACACACACACTGGACATTTTTATAGGAAAAAGTCTTGCTTAAACCCATTAGCAGTAATTGACAGTCAATGGAGGCATTGTGCTTACTTCTCATAGCAGAGGATATCTCTTTCTGGAATCTGTCAGCCATCGTCTGAAAGAAAAACACCCAGAGAGTCAGAAAGAAAACGAGAGTGAAGGGGCCGGCAAGTTAATGTATCATGGGCTGTATAACTGTTATGACTTTTAGGTATCTTTTAATCTAAATTTACAATATCAACAATCTACCAGGGACCTTTTTAACCCCATGAATCATCCAGTCCTCACTCTGGGTCAACAAGTGTGTCATCTTTTGACTTGTAATAGCAGCATTCCCCTTGGGCTCAGTCAGTGTTACTTGGAAGAGAGGTGGAGTTGTGTAATTTTCCCACTTCCCATCAGTGGTGTCTGATTAAGTTGCATGTAATGTATGAACAAAGTGTAAATCTCATTTCTGAATGTGCTGTAACATTGTGGGGAGAGCATCCCTGAGAATACTGTTTTTATATATATATAAAAAAAAGGCCACTGGTGTCTTTAGAAAAAGAACAAATGGTAAATTATCTTTTGCACATGGAATAGCTTAATTAGGAAAATTCGAAGTTAGATTAAACAAAAATAAATCAAAACCTTCTCTATGTGGTAGTGGAGCTGTTGCGTGACTTGCCAGCAGGGGTCGCTCTTCTTGTCCTCAGCTGCTGAATCTTCGAACCGCAATTGCAGATCTGCGTTTATTAGGCAGGAAACGCTGCTCCTGGAGAAACTCTCCTGCATCTGTCACGAAGAAAAGATGCAAAAGAAACAGAAACTAACTGATCAATTAGCCTGATCTATTAATTATTTTCTAATTCAGAGATTTTCTTTTTATGAAAATGTTATATAATCGTATATGATAAACAAAAGTAAGATCTCACATTTGAGATGAATATTTGCAAATATTTGTTTTGATTAAGTGATTTTTCTGATAATCGACTAATTGATTCAGGTCTACAAAATACTGCACATAAGCAATAAGGAACAACAGGCTTTACTTGATAATCATCAAAGTGCCGGTGTAAGAGACTGTGTAATAAAAAAAAAAAAAAAAAAAAAAAAAAAGATATGAAGCAACATTCACTTTGTGGTGTGCTCTTAGGTGATGCGTGAGGTGAGGTGTGTGTTCTACTGTGACCCCCAGCCAATCAGAGCTCAGGAAGAGATCTATCAGCTTTATAAAGGGGGTTTTAGCAGCTTGTACTGCTTCTCATAATATCTGCTCAGGTCTGAAATATGTTGCTTTAGGGTGTCACAACCCCTCTGGCCCAACTAGTCTCATTTCCTCCCATTGTTTTCTGTTATCTGCTCACCCAACTTTCTCCTCTCTCATTGTCCAGTGTCAGAAACAGAAATTCCTGCATGAGTCATGTAGGACTTTTACACCTTAAATAACTAAATAAGTCATCTAGACTATTATTCCTGTTCAGTGGTGGAAAGTAACTAAGTATATTTACTCAAGTACTGTCTTAAGTAATAAAATAATAGGCCTATATGTACTTGTGAATGTGCCATTCTGCATAATGAGTAGTTTTACTTTTGGTACTTTGAATATATTGTGATGCTAATACTTATAGACTTTGTTTTAGACTAAATTTTGTATGCATGACTTGTAAGAAATTATTTCTACACTGTGGTTTTGCTACTTGTATTTCAGTAAAAGATCAGAGCTTTTCTTCCACCACTGTTCCCTGTCATATTTCATCCCTGTAGGAACAGAGAGTAGGTCTGTAACTACTCAGGGAATGTGATAAGGAAATTTCAAGGCATATTTTATCTGATATGATGTTACAAGGCCTTAAATAAGCTCTTGCAGTCACTGCCACATGTTTCTCATATATTATATTTGGGTATTTACAGGATTTGGTCATGGATAGTTGAGAGCCTTGAGAGCCATGAAGCATTATCCAATCTCTGCAGTCATCCTGGCAGTTCCACTTACAGGATGTTGGAAATCTCTTTTCTATATAGCTTATAGTTTTATTTCATAGTTCTTGGCTCCAAGCAAAGGGCCCCCAAAGAAAATCTTGCCTAGGGCCCCGTGTTGTCTAGAGCCGGCCCTGGTTTCAATATCTGTCTGTGGTGCCAGTAATTTTAAATGTCCCATTCCTATATTCCTATGGAGCCTATTGTGCAAACGGTATTGTGTCCCAGCAAGATTAATGGTAGATCACTATGAAAATGTTGTAAACAAAGATAATTTGTCATTGTTATAACTCCCCTTTCTCCAGTTCGATGGCAGTCAGTTTAATGCCCACACTGTCTGTCAGATTGAGGGCAAGACAAATGCATAGCTTACCGTGTTCAGGACTTTGTTGAAGTACATAAAACTGATAGCCACTGCGATGGTCTGGAGGAGGACTGCTGCGAGCATGATGAGCCCCAGACACTGGAGAGAGACAGAAATGGCCATATCACAGCGTGAGAAAAGCACCCAAATAAGTCCCGAAGAGCAAGAGAGTACTTCCAGCAGGCAGGACAAGTCAGATCAAGCTTTGCTGCATTTCTGCTCTGGAGGGAGAGAGGGAGGAACAGAGCAGCAGTTTGTAGGTGGAGCACAGAGTATGGAGGATTATAACAGCCTCAAGATGTCACTGTTATTAGACAGAAATGAGCAGGGAGTTTTAAATAATGCAAATGTAACTTCAGGAGGCCTTCAAGTGCTGTAGGAAATATGGAAGCTTTGAGGTGACTTGTTGATTTACCACTGATGTGCAGCCTAATATGATATTCACTTTCCATTTTTCATACTTGATGCATATAATTGAAAAGATGGGGAAGAATTTAACTGAACTCTTGCAGATTATTTTCTTGACAAAACGATCTCACTTCAAGGTCCATTCACTGGCTATTCTGGAGCTTTTCATCATCTCACATGATCTTCATCTGCAGATGGAGTTTGCCCAGTTGTAGATGTTCAAATTTTAGCACTTCTTGTCCATGTTGATTCAAAAGCTGAAGCTCAAAATGTATTCTATTCTATTAGATATCGTATGTACTAATAATAGAATAAAAATGATCAAAACACAGCAAAACATGTTTTTTATATTTAAAAAAAATGATGAAACGTCTTGTTTGTGTGTGAGCTGAGCAGAGGGTAGCAGTTTTCTGTCCTTTGTCTGTGACCTTTTTATTTTGTTTTCTAAATTATATTAGGTTAAATCCTGTCGTCACTGTATTTGTAACAGATGGTAATAGAAACAGTCTTTCAGTCTTTGAAATAGTTTACTCTGTTCTCAGTTCAAAATAGCTTTGTGCCATTTAAATCCCAATTTGCCAACATCAGCCATAATTTGTCATGGTGTCTATTTAGTTATTACTTCAAGCCAGGAGGAACCGTTCAATGCATTGCAAATCTTTTTTATGACTCCCAGTCTCCACATTTTGAGCAGCTGAAGAGGGAGTGAAAGATAACTGTGTTGGCTGAATGAGGCAAGAGGCTCTGGAAACAATCAGTGTTAAAAAACTGAAGTGGTTTATTAAGGTATTTGGCCTTTTGTCTGTAATTTAATTCTATTTCCACTTTGATCCTTTGTTCAGCTTTCATTTTCACATTTTCGATCTCTTGGTGTTTAGCAGTCAAACAGTCTTAATACTGTAATTTAATGTAACTTGATTTTCACTCCTGATGTCTGTTTCCTCCTGTTGACTCTTGTACTGTGGACAGAAGGATCTCCAAATTGCTAATGCCTGATTTAAAAAAAAAAAAACAAAAAAAACAAAAAAACCAAAAAAAAAACAATGTTGTGTTGTCACATAAAGTCAAGTTTAAATTGTACTGTATATAGGAGCTTTGAATGGAGCACTTGAACGCAGCATCACTGCATGAAAGCTTGAGTATCAGTGCAGTGCAGGTAGCAGATTATCAGCACCTTAAAGTAAGATGAAGAAAAAACCCCCACCCTTCTTCTTCTCTTTCCTGCTATTGTGAAGTGATCTGAGAGAATGCTGGGCGATTAGTGCCAAATGACCCGCCATTGTTAGTCCTCCAGTGTAGCCCCAAGTAGCATTTGTCACAGGGGAGTCATTCAATCTGCAGAACTTAACCTTGAGTGATTCCTGTACTTTCATTCTTCCACCTTTAACCCCTGCTCCATTGTCAGTGTCAGGAAGAGAGAGTGGAGCTAAAGGAGTTAACGGCTCCTCCTGGATGTGCATGACCCTCCCAACAAAACCCGGACCTGTGTCAAAGCTTGTGAAATTCAATCATACCAGCACCCATGCAGCCACAGTGTTAACACAGTCGTGCACATGCACCACTTATTCCACAGCTGCTTCACAGAGATACTGTTATGTATGTAGCGTCAAATGAATCTGAGTATGTGGTCGTAAGTGCGAGCACCACATCTGAGGGAAAAAAGTATTTACTTTGTTTCCACTGTGATCAAAATCTGAAAATGCGGAAGAGAACGTGATAAGAGGTCCCTGCCCAGTTCCATTAAGCGAGTCAGTTCCCAGGCTTGTCAGGGAGAAGGAGGGGAGACAGTGAGTGATAAATTAAGACACTCTGGCCTCAGGCAGGGAAGATGACACCCTGAGAGAGATGCCTGTCTACAATACCATGGCAAACGGGCAGAAAGAGACAGCGTGTGGAAATGTGTTTGAACAGTTTCGTTAATATCTTTCTACTTGTTTTATTTCTTCTCATAGGTTCAATCAGTCGGTGACCTTTGACCTCTGTCAGACATGTCCACATGCAGCAGGCCCTGGCTGGTTCAAACTTAAAGAAATGGGTCAAGTTGAGAGGATCGATTCCATGACGACAGGAGCCGGTTGGCTTAGCATTAAGACTGGAAACGGCGGAAACGGCTAGCCTGGTTCCTTCTAAAGGTAACAAAATCTACCTACCAGCATCTGTGAAGATCACTAAATAACATGTTGTATCTTGTTTTGTCCACACAAAAACCAAAGTGTAAAAATGACATGTGGTGTAATTGGAAGGCTCAAGTGCAGGACTATTCCTGTTTATCAAATAAACAGGAATAGTTTATTTATTCAGTATTTTTTTTTTTTTTATTCCTGTGGACGGGGAGAGTGAACAGAAAACAGTGAGGCAGATATTGGTGAGATAAAATAACTAATAGTAACTCTGGATTACATGCATGTATTGTTTCCTGTGGATCCCTCCTGTCTGTGAAGACAACTTCAATCCAGCTCAGGAATCCACCAGCTGTGAGTGACAGCTACTGTAAAGCCAAGTAATCACAGGATGTAAATACATTGAATGGCTGTTATAAATAGGATCAGAACCAGAGGTTTTAGGGAGCATAACTTTGAAACCCTGAAACTGGAAAATAACTTTGGTTAACACCAAAATCATCAAAAGCTCATGTGTTTGTGTGGAACACATGCTCTGACTGTGAAACTCTTATACACTATGACTTAAAACGTAAAGTATTTTCCAACCCCTAAATCTGAAATCAGTTACAGGAAGTATTGAAAACAGGAAAGCATAAGGAGAGCTGTTGCTTCACTGGGAATGGAAGCAGTTTCCCCCTTTGAAGCGGAGAGCCTGTATAATACCCAGAAGACACATAATCTATTAAAAGGATGGATCATGCTCCATCCACCTTCCTCTGCCCTCCACTCCTCTCTTTTCTCCCTTGAGGCTTCTCCTCCCAGCGTTCCTCTCGGTAAAGTCATGGAATCTCCCTAAATTCCCGCCTGAGCGCTACAGCTGCTCATTGTCTCCTTCATAAAACAAAGACTACAGGCAAAAATGCTACGGCAGCACAATGCACACACAGTTGCCAATGACTGAGCCTGTCAGTGGAAGGGTGTTTGTTTATGTGACTGTGGGAGCATAGAAACAGAGCCAATACACACAGTTTAATATCTAACTCAATCTACCATCATTTCAAAAGAGTACTAAATAAAATCGTAAAGGATGGAGTTAGATTTTAAATAGGTAATTAGGGTTTTGACTAAGATATAGCAGTTGTTAGGGTTCATGAAATATAATGTTAAATTTAACAAAGGATGTGTTCAATGCCCCACGTGTCATACCGGCAAATGGGACGTGAGTATTTTATGACCATATGGTCTATTATTGCATTGTTCTTATTGGTGTATTAATATGTAAGTATAGCACTTTACTGTTGTAGGTGGTTGAAGAGGTGGCGCTATTTTCAACTACTTTATAAACTGTTTGGTTGTTTAATCTATAACAGTCATATTTTATCAAGTCATATTTTATAAGATGGTCATATGTAAAAGCTAAATCATAATAAAAGGAACTGGTAACTGAAACTGCCACATAAATGTACTGCAGTTACAGTAAAACGGTATCCATCCATCCATCCATCCATCCATCCATCCATCCATCCATCCATCCATCCATCCATCCATCCATCCATTATCTATGCCGCTTATCCTTATAGGGTCGCTGGGGGCTGGAGCCGATCCCAGCTGATATTGGACAAGGGCGGGGTACACCCTGGACAGGTCAGTAAAACAGGATTTCCCTTTGAATTGAAGTTGTATAAAATAGAAAAAGGTACCTGAAAACTGTACTTGAGTAAATGTACTTAGTTACATTTCACCACTGTTACCCCATAAATATTAAGAATACTAAATGTGTTTTACATTAAGAACATAGAGCATCCATGTTGTTAGCAGACCACTAGAGGGCAGTGTTGTATTGATTATTGATGCTCCTGGATTTAGTGACCCAGGAATGCACTTTACTCTCTTGAAGCCCCTAAGCGGTGGGTGGGTGGGGGTGGGAGTGGGGGGGGGGGGCAATGGCGTGTGTGATCATGAAAATGTATTGAAAGCTGATGCAGCTGTGAGAGTCTTTGCATTCTCTGATAATAGCATGGTCATTATGTATTTAGCAGCTGTAAGCTCATCAAAGCCCCAGCGTTATTCATTCCTTTCTGGTGTATTAATAGATCAATTTTATTAGTGGGCATGTGTTAACGTTAGGCCTGGAGGAGTTAGCTTCAGACTTATGAAAATATTTGTGATTAGGAGAAGAGAAAAAAACAATCTGCAATTTACACATATTTCAATGCAAATTTGGAGCAACTAAGGGTGCATTATAAAAACTGTAGGCTGGAGGATTAATGAATGCACGAGCATCCTGGAAACAATCACTAGCAAAACAGTCACTTCTGTCACACACAACCTGCAGGTAAATTCACACCTTTTACTATGAGTTAAAAGGTATTTTGGGAAACGTGAATGTCACTCACTGAAAATAAAAACAAAACACACGTGGTAAGAAAATAACTTTTGACATATACTTAAAATCACAGACTGATGGTAGGCTACACTAACAGAGTGTTTGCAGATGGAACTTTGGTTTAGGTTAACCAATAAACAGAAAAAAAGCTGTGCTTCATGAGTTTGATGTGATGTTTTTATTGACAACCTTCAATAAATCACAGGAGGGAATTTGTGTCATGTGAAATGAATCTCGGGAGATTCTCAGTTTGAATAACTGCTGCACCTCAGGTGTCATGTATGTTACTTTCCCGACTTTTCAGGAGTGATTTCATTCATGTGAGACGTCTGACAAAGACCTTAGACAACTTTACAGTGCTGACCCAGCAGAGCCAGTACAGCCAGTAGGGGCGCGGGGGTTAATACCACTACTTTTTGGAACGGCAACTGACAAGTGAATGCAACTTCAGTGATTAATTCATGTTCCATAGTTATTCTTATTCAGGCATTTAAACCGCAAAACATTTCTCTCATAGTAGCCTAAGGCCAGATACTTACAATATCCCGTAGCTACAACACAGAGTGGGTAATAACTGGAATAAAGCTGAAGGAAACAGTGCATTTTCTTTGTGATTGTCAAGTGGCAGCATCATTTGTCAGGGAAGACCTCACCTTATTGTCGTGCAGGGACTAGGGAGCATGAGATGGGTGTTTACTACAGCTGTCAAACACACACAAAGTTAAATACTGTCCTTAAGAAAGGTAATGAATTCCATATTTATTGAAAGAAAGAATATCAATTTACAAATGTCTTTGTCAGTTGTGTTTCATGTGAACAACAAGAGAACAAACCACTGCTGACATCAACTTCTGATTGGGGGGGTTATGATTTTGAAATTAAAAAATAGAAAATCATGTACTTCTCGTGCATTGTTTGTCGTGTGGATATGAAAGTTTGTACTGATGTGGAACCAGCTTATTACTTTTAAACTTGTGGATGTGATGTTAGTTTTTTATGAGCTGGTCACAGTGTTAGTTGATGTTACTATATTTGCCCTTCTCCACTGTCAGCAGAGTGTAAATCTGTGTGTGTGTGTGTGTGTGTGTGTGTGTGTGTGTGTGTGTGTGTGTGTGTGTGTGTGTGTGTGTGTGTGTGTGTGTGTGTGTGTGTGTGTGTGTGTGTGTATACATGAGGGCCCTGAGCTTTTATATTTTTAACACAAAGAGCAGATAGATGTAAGAGCCCTTTATCAAGTCTATAATTCACAAATCAAGGGGTAGTGCATTTGTATCAGTGACACACACACACACATGCATGCACCCATTACTCACTTGCACAAACACGCACACACACTCTTACAAGTTGTTCTGGAGCCAGTTGATGTAACCTCTGAGCGCCCTCTTCCCTACATCAAAGTCCAACGGCCAGACTATGAAGCTGAAACATCCGTGGAAGCCGTCCTCGTAGTGTTCGTTGGTTACCGTGACCCCTGCGTCCTGTAAGCGCCGAGCGTACATCAGCCCATCATCCCTCAACACGTCATACTCGCACGTGAGGATGTACGCCCGAGGGCATTTCGCCAAAACCTCTGGTCCTGCCAGCAGTGGTGACGCCCGCACATCCAGCAGCCCCGGCACCTCCTTCACGAGCCCCTGTGAACCTTTCTCCACGATGAGGGGCTTGTACGTCTTCCTGTATTTCGGCTGCAGGAGCACGGTCCAGTCTAGTCGCGACCTCAGCTCAGGGGTGATGGCTGAGTCGTGCAAGGAGCTGTGGTTGTTCACTAGCAACTGGGGCTGCAAGGAGAGGTCAGCACCAAAGTACTGCAGCCAAAAACGAACCATGACGGGCCGGTACAGGATGGGCATGTCTTGGTTCTGCAAGTAGGAGGGCGTGTTGAAGTCCAGAGCCTGGAGCACCGGGTAGATCAAAGCCTGGATGCTGAATTTCACGGTCACAGTGTCGTCTATGGAAATCTGGAGAACATAAAGACACACAAGAGGCTTTGCACTTTAATCCATTGGATTATATTTAGAATCTGACACACATTTCTACAGGAGATGGCTTCTTTTTACCTCCTGAGCGACCGCAGCAGCCAGATTTCCTCCAGCGCTGTCTCCTGACACGGCCACACGCTCGGGGTCGATTGCGTACTTTGCCAGAACCTCTGAGGACAAGAAGTGTTTGGCAGCAGCGAGGCAGTCTAAATATGGCATTGGAAAATGCACCTCTGGATACAGGCGATACCTACACAGACATTGATCGTAAATGATGATTTACTTGAGGTTTAGAAAATGATTGTAAGCACATGTTCTATACTTAAAGGATAACTCCACCGCAGGAGGATCAGTTTACTTTCTCTATGAGCAGAGGAAATGTTGAAACACACTTACTCAACAGAGACCACGACAGTGTTGAGCTCATCCGAAACCATTCGGTTGATGGCATCATATGAGCCTTTCTCTGAGGAGGTGAGAGAGAGACGGAGCGAAGGATGGAGAGTGGAAAAGTCAAATGAACAAAAGTGATGTCCTGTTGAATCATCAGTTTATTTGAAAATTTACAGGAAGGCACAAAAGAAAGTTACTACACAAACTCCTCTTGTTGAATCTAGACAAATCATTCCTCTTAGAGGTTTTGGCCAAACTTGAGATCTTAAAAACGAGCCTTTTTCAAACTGAGTGATGCTGGGCAATATGCAAGAAAAGACATACAGAACTGACAGAGAAAATGTGTGCATATTGTGTTACTCGCACTGTTGGAACAACCTGCACCTGCAGTGCAAAAAACTTGTAGTTATGTGGTTAAAAAAAAAAAAACAGCAGAAGACTGTGGGATGAAATTCTGCAGGTCTCTCTATTTTAAGGATTAACTCTTGATTATACTTTAAGACGGTAACGTCCACACTCACTGGCACTGCCGAGGGCCCAGCCTCCTCCATGGAAGAACATCAACCCTCTCCTCAGATGGCCCTCCCCTCCAGCCGGGGGCTCATAAAGTCGGACCGGGACGCCGGCGAAAGTCATGTCGCTGACCTTCACTCCGGGCATGACCCCTCCGTTGGACTCAGAAGTGTCCAGCCCCTTTATCATGCCCTCAAAGCCCTCTGTGGTCCGCCTGATAGACTTGACGTAATGGTCCAAGCCCAGCCAGTCCTTCAAAGAAGCCTGAAAAGGAAAGATTGAGGGTATATCTAGGCAAAAAGTGAACACAGCGGGTACAAGAACGGAATATGGGAAAAGAGAAAATGCATTCGTCTTTTGGCAGAACTGTCTCACCCAGTCGCCTCTGTCCTCCTGCGCTCTGTCTTACTGATGTGTCTGCCCTCTCCCCCAATAACCTCAGACTGTCTCGACACTCAGACTGTCTCAACCAAGGCCAGAACACACAGCTGCTTGGCACAGGGAGGCCTTAGATCCAGCCAGCTAATAGTTTCATTGTAATAATAGTTTTATCACTTTGGCTGAAAATGTTTATTAATGCGAAGAGACATTTGACTTTGACTTTCAGTCAGGGATCCACCTACTCTCTCTCTCGATACCGATTCCGATACCTCAGCTCTGTACCTGCTGATACTGAACACAGAACCAGGACCAGCGCTCCCTTCTTCACCGGTTTAAAATCTGTAAACCTCTCACTTCGTAAAATCACTGGAATCATTTTTGTCTGGATTGCTGTTACACTAAAAACTGAATGAATGAGACCGATAGTATAAACACTTTTCTTATAACGACAGTAGCTGACACCTGATCTAAAGCTAAATAAAGTCAGTACTGGCCCTGCATTGGATCGATGCCACTGGATCTACTTTATTAACTGACTGCACTTGAAATACAGAAGTATGTCATTCTGAGTGCAGCAAAAACCTGAGTCACAGATCTTATTTAGACTTTCCTAGCTGAAACATTAAAAAAGAAGTTATATTTTAACTTTGTCTGGTAAAGAGAAGCACTGTAGACTACACACAACTTAAATGCTTTGTTTGAGGTATTTTATCTGACTTTATTACTCGTGTGCTGTATTGTATACTTCTTTCAAGTACTTTGTTCTATATGTTGCATGTTCTTGTGCTGCTTTTATGTTTTGTTGAACGACAGTTTTCCTCTCCGACGTTTAATACATTTGCATTGTATTATATTCTTTTCTGTTCTGTCATCAAAATCATGCTTTCACCTGCAATTTAAAGCAGGTGAAGATCAGTTTGGTTTCTTCTTCTAGAGTACTTTATAGACAAAGTATATGCTGTTTTAAAGGTTAGAGGGACACATTTTAAAAAACACAGCTAACTGAATTTGATTTAGAAAATGTTTGAATTAGGATTATTTGCTTTGTAAACAAGTTAAACCACCTTATCTCAGTGCACATACAGTATACAAAATATTAAATGACTTGTGTATAGAGTATGATCTGATTTTGAGTAAACACCTTATAGGTACAGCACATCATTCTGCAGCCTCTCTCAAACTGTGTGGTAACATGAAACTGATGTCATGACTGACTACCTAGACAGCCACTTTTGAAATGTAGATCAAAGGTGAACGTGAAAGGCTCATTGTCCTCATGTAGGCCCAGAATAAAAGTCACTCTCTGATGATTAGAACTGTGACAGTGTGAAAAATTCGAAAGCAAAAAATGTTCAGGGACTGAAAAAGCCCTTTCACGAAGTTTGTACATTTTACCCTGCTGTTACAAATGAGCCCGAATCGATACAGCCATGAAGAGACATGTTGTCATCTGGTGAAGAGAAGCACTGTGGACTACACATAACTTCAGTTTATACCGGTGCATGGTTCAGGACATGATGGGCTTCAGATTTCTGATTTTACACCTTTGCATGTCACATGCTTGTTCATATTAAATAAATATACATTGTAAGATACTGATCATGCAGTTATTATCTTCTTACTTAGCCTCAACAAGCCCTGTAGTGGCCTATATTATGGTTGGGTTTGTCAGGGCTGGCATAATTCCAACACAGGGTTAGTCAGTGGGATTAAAGTCCAAGTGTCCAGAGGGAAGGTGTGTAAATGTGCTGAAGGTTACCAGGCGACACTATCACACTATTTCACACCTGATAGTACAGTAGCTGTTCGTTTTTCAAACATACAGCACATGCATGCAACACCTCCTGTCAATAATATATTCTTTATTTAGCTAAAAAGAAATGTGTAGTTGCACACCTGCTGCATTCACCTGTTTGTGACAACAGTCCATTTACCACCTTAACATGCACCAGAATTTATTCCCTATGAAAACACCTCCTCTCTTACCAGGTGCATCGCTGCCCGGAACCCAGCATCCAGCATCATCAACTTCCACGGCTCCTGGATGGCATCAGGCAGCGGGATGTAAACGTAATAAGCGACAGCCACCGTCAGTAACACCGTAAGGACAACTGGCTTCAGCCTCATCTTGAATGTGACAGCTCCAGTATTTTCAGTGACTCATGAAAAGCCCCTGTGCTCACATCCAGAGGACTGAGGATCCAGGACGACTCTGCTGGCTGCAGCTGGTACTGGCTGATTTGACTCTGCAGGTCTGAGGAGGACTGGGAGGGCCAACCAGGGCCCAGAGTTAGCACTAGAAACGTACTATAAAGCCAAGAAGCATGGAATTAAACACTTCCGTAGCAAAACTTCAAAATAAAATCGTATTCTTATATTTTCAGTGGGTTATTTTTTGTTTGACAGAAACGTTTCCACCAACGTTTCTGACATTTTGTTCTAATGCAGCTTTTACCTATTCCACGAAATCAGTTGTGAATTGTGAATGAAGCCTTTAGTCATCACTTTGCAGTCAGTAAATAAGGTTGTTATTTTTAATTACAGTTGTTTCCCTTTAGTTACTGTTGCCGTCTTCTTCAGCCTGACCCTTAAAAGGTTTTTTAATCAAGAAACTTGACAAGATTCATGCTTTTATTTTGGCAGGTAGAAAGGCAACTACGAATGGGCATCTGGGAAATTGAGTTTTTATGTGACAGCTGTTTGGTTGGAACAAAGTTGTATTACATATATGTGACCACGGCGAGGCACAATAGAGCTGCAGACTGCAGCCAGGACTCCACACATTAAATCTCATTTTATCCATATTTTTACTAGACAATGTAAAGTGAAGATGTAATCACTGAAGGAAGAAAATTGGCTTGGAGATTATTACGTTATATGTTTAATTATTACTTTATAGCTTTAATAATTGAAAATCTTAACTGTTAAAAAAAAAAAAAAAAAAGGTACCTAATCAAATTTAAACAGAATTCCTTTTTTCCCCATGAGAAATAGAATATAACCTATGGAGGTGAGTTCTCTCTAAATTTATCATTTCTTTTCACTTTCACTTTCTAACAACACTGCCTCCTCTTCAACAGTTACTTTAGACACTTCATGCAACTCTTAATTTGACAATTTCCTGTTAATGCAACAAGCCATTAAAGCAATATGCTCCTAGAAGTTTAATAACTGCTAATGAAACCATAGTGCATCTACTCTTTTTAATACACAGCCTCTTAGTTAATTGGTAATTATGAATTGGTGATAAATGAGTATTGACTGTTACCATTAGTTAATTATCATTAACATTAAAAAGTTCCTCATGCTGTCAATGCTGCAAAGGCCAATTACAACAATTATTTCAATGATGTGGTTAAAAAGCAAACAAACTTTGCAATAAAACCCTATTGGTTGCATTTTTTAAAAGCTTTGAACAGGAGGGTAAATGATATGTGGTGGAGTGACGCTCCTGTACATGCGGAAAAATCAAGAGCACCTTTCTCACTGACTATTGATCCCTTTTCATGTGAAGATATCAATAGTGGACTGAGGTCTCACTGGAAGGCATTAGTAGTGAAAGTTACCGTTCAGAGGCTATCGATCCCTCCACAGTGCTGTGAAATCGGACTTTTCTGTTTCTGCATCTGCTTTTAGATAAAAGAGTTTTTTTTTTTGACATTGAAGTGTCCAGCAAAATCAGTAGTGTTGAATATTTACACTGGGCCAGCACATAAATCAGAGAAATCACTGAAAGATCAAAACCACCCGGGAGAATATGTTGCATGCATGACTTTTAAATCAATTACAGAAATGACTTGGCATGATAGCAAAAGATTTTCTTGTTTTCAAGTTTATTCTTTTGGCCATTTTGAATCAAGGACACTGTAGTTATGTGGTCTGCATCCTAGACCACTAATGCCACAGTGACACCCCATGACAGATTTTTAAGATTGGTCTGAATTCAGGTCACAGTCACAGAAAGGCAAAGAGCAGCACAGTGCAGTCAATAGTGCCACAGCCCCCTGTGTAGACAGGGCAAAGAGTCTCAGTATCGCTGCCTCACTCTCTCTCTCTCTCTGTGCTATTTATCGCCCTGCTTCTTCCCACGGTTTAACTTTTAAATGGCCACTGTCTGTCCCTGGTGGCCCTGTGTGAGAATGTAAACAAACATCAGAGCTGATGAGGATCTGACCCCTGCACTGGGCCCGTTTTCCAAAACATAGCAGCCAGGCCACTAGACCATGTCAGATTAGCCTCTTGGAAAAACCGGAGTGGGGTTCTCAGGAGAAGACATGGCAAGGTGAATACAGAAAGTCATAGTGATCTCTTTAATAAAAAAAAAAATGACTTTGTAATGTTCTATATCAAAACTTGATAAGAATTGTTAATGCAATTTGTGTGAGTATTGGAAATGGTCAAAATGTAAGAACATGTGTTGTTTGTGCGGTTGAGTTGCTCAGCAAATGTTATGGGGTGATGACCTTCTACCATGACCTCACACATGAACTCCAGATGGCTGTAAAGACTCAAATGAGCAGTTTAACATTTTGTAAAATAAGCTTATTACCTTTCTTGCCAAGAGTTAGATGAGTAGAGTGATGCCTCTCTCTTGTCTGTCTATTCAACATAGGGCTTCAGACGAGACCTGGTTATCTTAGCTCAGCAGAAAGCCCCTCTAACGTTCACTACTTAACAACTTATTAGTTGTTTGTGTGATGAGTCCCAAAACTTAGGTGTAAAAATGACAATTTGTGATTTTACATGGAGTTATGTGCTGGACTATTTCAGGGCTGGCAGTTGCCTGGCAACCAGCAGAGACTCCAGAAAGTTTCAGCTCCTGGCCAAGAAATAGTCACATAATATAATAACACATAGAAACACACTGTAAAAATGATCATCTGATATTTTTACACAAACAAGGTGTAACGTGTTTATTTGTAAACCTTAGCGCTGCTAGCATACAGGCTTTGTTATCTTTGGACAGAGCCAGCAAGCAGTGTCTGGTCTTCATGCTAAGCTAAGCTAACATTCTCTCGTTTACAGTGCCATATTTACCATACATACAATTATGAAAATGTCAATCTACTCCTTTAATGCACTCTCATGTTGTTTAACCTCTTTCTGCCATCATCATACAAAGGATTTTATCTGTGCCTTATGCTACTTTAGCTTACAGTGTAACCTGGTAGAAATTGTATGTAGGGTTTTTATAATGCATATTATGGTAAAACAGACTATTTGCTCCACAGTAAGCATATGGGTGGAGGTGGCTTGTGCTGCAAAAGTGGTACTATTCATTTCTGCCATGGTAACATTGCAACTAATACACTTCAGTCTGACTGCAGCTACAGTTAGGGGAGAATAGACATGAGCCACTTTTAATATTTAATAATTTTATTGCAAGATAAAACAATATTTGTTTCAAATAATAGTTACTATATGCCTCCGGTTGATATGTACCCATGGAAATTAAAACAGGTTATCTGATAAAATGCAATTTCTGAATAAAGCTCAATGGGATGTAAGCAGTGAAAAAAATTTATTGTGCAAATGCAGAAAGACTGAGCTGCATTGCTTCATGCGTAGCCTAAATCCCAATTCGCTCATTCAACTTAAAAGTTTATTGGAAACAGCTTGCACACAGAACTTTTAGTTTAGTCTAGTACAATAACATGTTCCAAGTACACCTGACACAAAATAACTATCACATGACCTTTGTCTGACTGGAAATTTATGTTAGTTATGTAAGTTTTCTTTTTAAATCACACAACGAAAACGTTTTTTGGAGAATTCAATTTTTATTCTTCATCATATTAACAGTGATCATATGTTATGTGATATGAAATTACCGAGTTGCTGAATGTTTATTTTTATGTTTATTATATTAGCTAGCCCCCGTTAGCTAGATGCCAGGGAAGGCAGCAAGCTTGCCTCCGCTCCGCCCGGAGCCGAGCCCCGAGCTGTAGCTGCCAGCATGACTTATCCCCTGACTTATCCCCTGACTTATCCCCCTCCTCCGCGTCACAGTGGCACAACTTGTCCCAAGGTAAGGGTAAAATGAACATGGGGATGGGGTAAATATAGCCCCACTGTTAATACTGATATAAAAATGATACAAAATCAAACAACTTTGAGTTCATTTGGATTTTTATTAATGCCATTTAGCAAACCCTCAAAACAAAAGATACTAGACTGATAACTTTAGGAACACAATGAATTCCCTTGGCATGACAAAAATAATTTTTTTTTCCCCTCTGGTTTGCTTACCATTCTCTCCATGTGCTTGAGTCAATGGATTGAGGAACAGACTGAGTAATGTGAACTATACTTCCTTAATTTGTTGTCACATGATTACTCACCATTATTACTTTTTATGCTTACCTTGAGACACAAGGTGGCTCATTTCACCCACTGACTCGACTCACCCCGTTCTCCCCAATTCATGATGCACAAAACTACACACTTTTTTTTTTTGCCGTCATCTTGTAATCCTAAATCCTACGGGGGGGTCAGTGTTTCACACTCAAAAGATCAGTTTAAGTCAGACACAGATGCCGTACTTGCTCACTTTCCAAAAATCCCTCTGAATGAGAGTGTCAGCAGAAAGCTTAAATTGTAAACGCTAATGTGATATATGTGCTTTCGTGTTTGTGTGCATGTGTGTGTGTGTGTGTGTGGTGTAAGAGAGTGTGCATTAAAATTCCCTCTTCCTGCCCCCTCCCTCCCTCCCTCCTGTGTGTTAGTCTGGCGTCTCCCTCCAGTCTGTGGTATGGAGGGCAGAGAGAGGGCCCCTCTCTTGTGTCGCTGACTGGAATTACACTTATGGTCATTTAACATGACTAAACGCATGAGGCAGAAATGGAGGTTTTCCATTTCAGTGAGGTCCCGTCTCGTTGTTCACTCTTTCCTGACACAGCCTTGACACACACGTTTGAGGACAAATTATTGGGTCGACTGTGGTGAGATATATTATCAATAAAAAGCGCCTTGAACTAACTGCTTTCACTCTGTTATTCTCCATTCTTATTTTCCAGCCCCTGCAGTTGAAATGTATCAGGAATTAACCAGGACTTGGATGAAAAGATGCAACGGATGTTTTACAACGTCATGCTGCAAGAAGAAATGACAGAACACTGGCTAATTGGCAGTGGTGAAAAGAAAATGCGCACACAGTAGTTTTATTATTTGGGTCTGTCACAGGCACAGTTGGTTCCTTCAGCTCGAACAAGATATTTTTGTCTTCACTCCCTTTTAATCTTCTGAATGTGTTCCCAAAAAGATGAAATCACTTCTT